AGCTCGGTCCCGCTGCCCTGGCTGTCCCCCCTGCCCTGGGCTGTCCCCCCTGCCCTGGGCTGTCGCCCCTGCCCTGGGCTGTCCCCCCTGCCCTGGGCTGTCCCCCCTGCCCCGGCCGTCCCGCTCTCACCTGCCGCTCCCAGCGCAGGAAGCCCACAGGGCCCCGCTGCCCCCGGGCCCCCCCGGCCCCTCCGCCGAGCTCCGGGGTGCTCGCCCGTCCCGTCAGGAGGAGGCTGAGCACGGCCTGCGGGGACACAGCCCGGGTCACCCCCGGGGACCGCAGCGAACGCGCTTTGCAGGTGGGCTCCCACTCCCGGCTCTGTCGTGCCTGTCACTACCGGGGCAACGCCAGGCTGCGGGTGCCTTTTTTAGTATTATTGTTATCATCAGCGTTATCATGGTCTGTTTTTTGCATGCGCAGCCGTGATTAAAATTTGCAAAATATTTTTGCAAATTTTCATGCTTTTTTTCTTTGGATTAAGAACAGAGAATTTTTTTCCTAAATCCAATGTGGGAAACGTGGCTGATCCTACCTCTGTGCAGGTGACATTTCCAGAACTGACGCTCAGCAGAGGAGCTGTGTCACCCAAATCCTCCTGGACCCTGTATGGCCGAACAGAGAACATCAGGGCAGTGCCAGGCTGGTGCTGGAAATGACGCTGCACGACCTTGCCCGGCTGATGGGAAAGGGAGGAAAGGAAAAACCATTTTAGAAGATGTAACCAAACTAGATGAGAATATTTTAAAAGTGAAATATACCTTTCAAGTGTCCTAGAGAAAAGTAAACTGTATAAGAATAGGATCACTCCATGGCTTCCTTCACATTTGAACTGGAAAAAGAAATAAGGGATCACAGGGAAGGAATTATGGCCAGTAAATCACATTTAATTAAAGCAATTAATCTGCTTCAATACAGTCTTGGGTGAGTGTGTTGAGCCAGATGAGTAAGGTATTATACCAGGAAGATTTTATAATTAATTTTGTTGAATAGGATCAGGTAAAAAAAGAAACTTCCACTTATTGTCTAAATGGGTTTTGTACATTTTTTTCCACAAATCTTTGCTGAGGCTGCAAGGAATCACATCTTGTATTCCAGTGAAACACAAAATGCTGTCCCATTTGCCCAGTGTTTGTGGGCTGAGAGAGCTGGAATAGTGGGTAAAGTCCCAAGACTTTTAGTGGGAGCAAGATCTCTTCCCAAAGGAAGATCCATGAACTTTACTGTATGTTAACACCGCATTCTGCTGATGGTGGCACTTGCCTTCAAAAGGTCTGATTTGAATAGGAAATAAGATGTAATTCAGCAAGAAAATAACTTGGACAGAGCAAATATCCCCACTTACACAGTTTATGTGGTCGGAGATGAACTCCTGAGCTGCAGCTTTCTCTGAGAACTCAAACAGCCGGATCTGTCAGGCACAAGCACGGGGAAGGTGATGTAAAGGAGACGTGAATTATGTAAAAAAGCTGAGCTTTTGAATCCCGTGGTTCTTTTAGCCAAGTGAAAGAACAGTGCAGGGGTCTGTTCTGCCCCTTGCCCAGCCCCAGGGTCTGGCTCTGTGCAGGGAGTTGGGAGTAGTTTCACATTAACTGGATTCTTGTTTTTGCAGGAGGAGGAAGACCGGCCTTTGATGAAGGGGAGCAGCAGCCCCTGTGGTGATGTGGATGTGTCTTGGGCTGTGCTGGGACCTGGGTCTGGGGGCTCACCACTTTGGTGCACCATAGGTGAGGGGGCAGGTTTAGGAGATCCTACATTCCAGGCCAGAGGTGTCTTTAGGAACGCTCCGTGTGCAGTCCTTTCCATACTCACTCTCTCGGTGAAGGTGTCTGCTCTGCAGCCTGTGCGTGGCATCACGGTGCCAGCTGTGCTGATGAGGCACACGACGGCTCTGCCACCTCCTCCTGCTGCCCACAGGGTCTCTGCCAGGGCCACGGCCAGCGCCTGTCCCTGCTCCCGCTGCCCGATCCGGCACAGCCTGCGCCGCGGGAACACCGGGGCTGTGACCACGGCACCGGGGCTGGGGGGACACACCACCATCCCAAACAGGGATCAACCAAGGCTTCTCCCTCGGTACAAATCCTCACCTGTAGCTGCACACCTGAAGCTGGGTCTGGTTTGATTGAACCCAGGAGCTGGTCTGCCTGAGTCCAAACAATGCATGGAAATAATTCCTGAGTGTCCCACGGGAAGGCTCAGCATCTTACCTTTCCAGGTGAGTATGTTCTGTGTCTCTTGTGAAGAGCAGATATGTGATGATGTGTGCTTGTACAGCCATCAGAACAGCTCTTGTTCCCCCCTAGGGACAGAAAGACGAATCCCCAAGTCTGAGGAGCACATGCCATTCCCAGCAGTCCCTGGCCAGCAGGAAAACAGGAAGCCCTCATGGAGAAGAAGCTGTGGAATGGCCTGGCTGTGTGCTGGTGACAGCAGGGGTCCTGTGGGTGCCCTCCCTCCCTCCCTCCCTCCCTCCTTCCTTCCCTCCTTTCCTCCCTCCTTCCCTCCCTCATAGTGCTCAGCCCCAGGGAATGTCACCCAGCTCCGGACACTGTGTGTGCTTGGAAGCCCCACAGTTTGTTTTTTCTCCCCTCTAGTCTCACAACAAAGAGCCAGGCAACCCAAAGCATCCTGGGGCTGATGTGAGGCTGTGCACAGGGGTGCCTGTGCCTGCACCCTGCTGTGTTCAGGGTCAGGGCTGTGGTCCCTTCTGGGAGCACAGAGCCTTGGAATGCAGGGAGCGGTGCCTGCGGTTGTACCCGGTGTTTCAGCTTCCAGGGGATTTAGGAGATTTACAATTTGAGTGTTTATCTTGGGCTTCTGCTTTTTTGGGTGCAGTGTTGTGATAGTAAATAAGGAAGAAGAAAAAAACCCCACTCTTTCAGTAAATGACAGCGTAGGTGACTTCACCTGTTAGATGTCTAGGTGGGGCAGGAAGAATTAGGTAAGTCTAGTTCTCAGAAAAAAACAGGAAAGTCCTGCTTCTTTGTGCAACCTGCTGCCTCTCCTGATTCCTCCCCTGTGACCACCTCCCAGAGGGGTATCACAGTCTGTCCTGCAGCCAGCAGCTGCCTCCAGGGCAGCCACCCCCCTCCAGCCTCGTGCCAAAGGCTCCAGCTGTGGAGGGGGCTGTGGCTGCAGCCCCTGCACCCAGCCCGGTGGGGAACGCTGGGCCTGGCAGGAGGGCAGGGCATGTGGGGTGATGGGGTGTGTGCTGCTGAGGCTCCCAGCGCTGGCTGCTGTCCCCTGTGCGTGTCTGAGACAGCGAGGAGCCGGTGCCAGTTGCTGTGTGCCACTTTACCTTTCCTGCCTCCAGCGCGTAGGCCAGGTCGGAGTGTGGCTGGCGGAACCTGAAGTGTGCTGCCACCCACTCCCAGCTGAACAGCGGGGTTGTGTCCCCAAACAGCAGCTGCTGCAGCCCCTGCCGAGGAGGAGCCAGAGGAGGGGTCAGGTCCCAGCATGGGGGATGACCTGGAATGTCAGGAGGTCTTGAGGTGCAGGTGCAGTGTGTCCACGGCACTGCCACACTGTCAGGCCTCACAACTTCAGGGCAAAGGTGATGTTTGGGCTCAGTCAGGGACTTCACTCAGTACTTGGGTGCTCCAGTGAAGCTTGGTCACAATGTGTAATAACCTCTGTCGGGGTACAGTGCATTTTTTAGGGAAGACCTGCACCGTCATCACCTGAACAATTTCAGAGCTGCCTGACAGCGGCACCCAGAGCAGCACCCTCAGGCACTCGACAGGAGCGGAAATCCCTCACTGATGGTGTAAAAAGCCTTTTGCAACCCAAACGATTCTATGATCCTGGCTCCCATCTGAGGCTGTTTGCAGGGAGGCCCCAAAGTGCAGGTAAACATTTCCCGTTGTCATTTAACTGGTTCTCTCATGAGAATTATTGTGGATCAGCTTAGGGGTTGTGTTGCAGCCATGTTAGTTAAGAGTCCCATAAATAATGCAGCCCCATCCCATAGTTCAGGGGATAGCAGGCTGCAGCCCCATCCCATAGTTCAGGGGATAGCAGGCTGCAGCCCCATCCCATAGTTCAGGGGATAGCAGGCTGCATCCTCATCCCATAGTTCAGGGGATAGCAGGCTGCAGCCCACAGCCTGCCCGAGCCAGGAAAGGTTCCCAAGACTCTTTCTCTCCAGGAGATTCAATTACAGCTCATGCTTAATTCAGCAGGCAGCTCACCATCGCCGTGTCCGGGGAGAGGGGGCGGCCGCCCGTGCCCGGAGGGAGCAGGAGGGGCTGGGGGATGGTCGAGGGGGGCTCCCCAGCTCGGGGTGGTCCATGGCCAGCTCTGCCCCGGCCTCGCTGCAGGGAGAGGAGCAGACGATGCATCAGGCCAGGGCTGCTGCTCCCGTGCACTCAGAGTTCCCCCAGTATTCCCGGGGGGCAGTGCCAGGCTGTAGGCTGGTGGTGGGGAGGGGAGACACACGAGCTGCCCTGGAACACGGGTGCCCTTGACTTCCAGCTGCTGTCGGGCATTCCCAACGCATCCCTACCAGCTACTGACTGGAGCAGGGAGTAACACTGTGTTTGTCTAAATTACAGAGAATACCTTCAGTGCCTGCCAATCTAAGGGCACAGCAAGTTTTCCAAATACTTGCATTGGGGAGATGTTAGCTGCTTATACCTTTTCACTGCGTTCCAAAACTGAGTGTAGAAATCATTAGTTTTAGACAGAAAGGTTAATTTGTGTTGGACTGCTCTGCCCCTTTGATTTTAATCAGGAAGACTTTCTTTCAGAATACCTGAAGAAAACGTCTGTTTCTCAAAGGAGCAGCATGAGAAATGACTCTCCATAGAGACCTGGGCTGCAGGTGACCTCCTCAGTGTGCCAACCCGGCAGGACAGCCCAAAACCCACCAAACACCAAATGGTACCTTTGGAGAAGAGTTACCTGATGAACTGTGTTGTTGATTTCCAAGCTGAAAAGGTAAAATAAAACACAATTTAAAAAAACCAACAGAGGCATTGCCAGCATATGGAGAACCCAGAGACAAGCCAGAAGAGAACACCAGAACAAAGGAAGAGTAAGAGCTGTAGCACTTGTATTGAGGAGTACACAAGGACCTTTTGTCACTGGCACGTAAGTTTTGTAATAAAACATAACTTTACAAATTACGTTAAATAACAACCCGAAATTTTAAAAATGTGATAAAGAACCAGAATAAAAATCTTACCCACGGAAACTAAAGATTTCTCTCCATTTGTTCAGATCAGAGATTCTGCTGATGATCTCCTCCAGCTCCGTCGGCGCGGTGTGTTCAGTCCCCGGGCCACCCCTCGCAGCCTCCTGCTCAGCCCCTCGGTCACCCCTCGCAGCCTCCTGCTCAGCCCCTCGGTCACCCATCGCAGCCTCCTGCTCAGCCCCTCGGTCACTCATCGCAGCCTCCTGCTCAGCCCCTCGGTCACCCATCGCAGCCTCCTGCTCAGCCCCTCGGTCACCCATCGCAGCCTCCGCGCTCCGGCCGATGCTCCCGGCGATGGAGCGGGATGGGAGCACTGAGGCTGCTGGGGGAGCGGCTCCCTGACCCCCCGACCGAGCGTCACCGACCCCCTGCCCACCCCTGCGGGACTCGAGGGCCGCGAACCGCCAGCAGAGCCCGTCCGGTGTGCGCGCTGTGCCGGCAGCATCGATGTTTAATGCCGGCAGCATCGATGTTTAATGCCGGCAGCATCAATGTTTAATGCCGGCAGCATCAATGTTTAATGCCAGCAGAGCAGGGGGGATGGCGCAGCGGGGGCTGCTCGGGGGGGCTGCGGGCGGAGGCAGGAGCGGGGTGCAGGAGGGTGGGTATTTTCCAGCATGGAGCAGGAGACAGGGTGTTTTCCAAAGCGGGTCGGGAGCGGGGCTATTTTCCAGGGGCATTTTCATGGATGACGGAGGGCCCGGTGTCCCTGCTGGGGTTCCCCCAGCGTTCATGCTGGGCGGCCGTGCCTCTGTCAGTTCTGCCAGTCAAACACTCAAATATTGTCACAACTTTATTTTGCTCGTAAGAAGTCGATTTCCTTAGGAACTGGATATGAACGTAAATAGAGCTGTGCTGATGCTCGGGAGCGGGGCGGGATGCGGGGCCGGTGGAGCCGGGCTGAGTGACGCCGGCGAGGACACCGGACCCCAGGTCGGGGCTGCTCTTGCCTGCACAGCAAAGGGACGGGTTTGGGCTTGCTGTGTAGTAAACAATACCAGGAGATGCAATACAAATGTATTAAGAACACATATTAGTGTTAGGAAGAATATGCATATGGATTAAGAAGAAAACTATGAAAAAATCTCGGTGTCGTGGGGACTTGCAGCAGCCCTTACACATCGCCAAAATCCGTGGAGAAGCAGAGGGCAGAGCTGCCTTGGGAAAGGGTTGGGTAGTGGGGATGCAACTGACAAATCTTGACAAGAATTCAGCAATGTTCTGCCATCCACTGTAGAAGCCTAAAAAAAAGGCATCAAAGGGAATGAGGCCTCGTGGGCTGGGAGTGCCCGAAGTGCAGAGGGCTCAGAGATCTGGTAAATGGGCCCGTTTTGCACCTGGGGGACTGGGTGGGATCGCTCCTCAGCTGCAGCCAGGCGGGATTGCTCCTCACCCACAGCTGGGGACAGTCCCCGCAGATAAACAGGTGGCTGGGGAAGGCGCTGTTTCTCCGTGTTTGCTCGGAGTGCTGTTTCTGTGTCTTCTGAGGAGCATCTCGTCTCCAAGGCACCCAGGTAATTCCGTGGGGTAGTCTTTGCTTCTGTCTCAGCCTGTCGGGAGCTGGGCTGGCTCTGATGTCCCTGTGGGACGGTCTGTTGCTTGAAGAGACCTGGAGATGTCTAAGGGTGTGAGGGCTGCTGTGTCTGGCTGGCTGGCTGGCTTCCTGCACCAGACCTTGCCGTGTTCCTTCCTTAGTCCCTGCTGAGCTGCAGTGTGCCAGGGAGCCTGTCTGTTGTGTTATTGCTGCCCTTTCCAAAGGTTTTGACTTGGTTTATTGTTATTGTTTGATGAGAGTTTGCAAGGCTGCTCTCCAGGCAGGGCTCTTGGGAGCTCTGGGAGGGAACAATGGGAGGTGAAGGTGCCTAAATGCCTTTTGTCTGATGAACTGTAGAGGGGGTGTTTGGCAGTGCCAAGCCTGGCTGCCTCCCTGAGGCAAGCAGGAGCATGCAGCACATTTCCCGAGTGCTGCTCTGCGGTGACAGCTTTGTCACTGAGCTGCAGCAACCGTGGGGGTAACAGGAGCTCCTGGGACTTCGAGCTCAGAGCACAGTTTGGTTTGTTAAAACTGAAACCCCAAAAGAGAGCTTTATGGAGAGAAACAGTGTGGTTGCCATGCGTTCGATGCCAGGTCAAAGTGCTGGTGGTGGGTGCCGGTGTTTGGGTTTTACCCTCCCAGCACTCGCTGTAGCACCTGTTCCTCCTGAGCACTGCATGTGTGAGCTGGAGCCTGAGGGGTGGCCTTGTCCTGTCCCTTGCTGGGTGTCCTTACTCCCTGACATGGTCACAGCCGTGTCCACGTTTTCACCAGGGCTGAAAGGCAGAGCTGCTGCTGGTGAGTGTGAGTCTCTACTGCAACTCAACCTGGGCTTTCCAGGTCCTGTGCAATGCTACTGAGATTTCTAGTTTTCTTCATACCAGTTACTTTTCAAATAGTTTACTGGAAAAAAAGGCAAATGTCTTAATAAGGCCTTACCCCAAGAAAGAGGGCATTTCCATCCAGACATTACTATTCAGCACATCTTCTTCTGTTCATTGTATACACCATAAGGATGCTTATTTGAAATCTTCTCTTTTGTTTTACCTTCTTCAGAGCTAATTGTTTACAAGCTGGTACACCTGGTGGTTGTTGACGTAGTAGTGACAAATCTCTTTACTTGAAATGTTAAATCCTGTAATTCTAATACATCAGGTCAACTGCTCCTGTGATCCTCCCTGAATCTTTTGGTTTTGAAAAGGGAAATTCAAACCCAGCAAATCGGATTAGCAGGGCATTGAGGAAGTGCACCAGAGAGCAAACCAGGATGGTCCAGAAGGAATTTGCAAATTGTTCACTGTGAGTCTTGAATATAAAGGTTCCCTCCTTGAAATTAGCGATCTTCTCTGAGAGGTGATGAATCTTCACCTCTGAGGAGAAGAGAATCATGATGAGGCAACCGCAGGAACCTGCAAGGGAGGAGGGACACGCTCATCACCTTGGCAACCCCTCAGTCATGGCGTGTGACGTGTGCCACAGCCAAATACCACATGGAGAGTGTTTTTATGGCCACTGTAACTTAGCTTTAACAGGGACTGTGTTTGGAATCCAAGCCAATGGCTATTGAAATTGGTAAGCTTTTCTAATTGAATTTGGCTCGGGACCAGCAATATTTAGCACGGCTGCTTTAACGCCCTGAGCCAGCAAAATATCTGTGCTCATGTCCAACTTTAAGCCCCTGATTGTGCCGTTGAGCTTAATGGAGCTGTCTGCACGTCTAAAGATAAATACTGAAGTCCTTTCTTAAGTTATGATTGCAACATATACTACCTTGTAAAGTCAGGGCAAACCTGCTCGTCAGCCAAGGCAGCAGCCTGGAGAGTGGGTGTCACCCTCCCGTGTGGCAGAGGGACAGGGATGCTCTGTTGTCCCTGCTGGCAGGAGCTCTCAGAGCCCACCCTCCCAGGGAGCTGCTGCCAGCCCCTCCCTCTCTGCTGTTCAGCACATCA